CCCACCTTTACCCATGTCACAGAGGGATGGGGAACTGGTGGGCCTCAGAGACCCCCGAAGCCCACAGAGGGGCACCCCCGGACACCACTGCTAGCTCCACCACTGCAGCCCCGAGCCCGGGTGTGAGTGAAGCTGTTGGACATGCCAGCTGCAGAGTGACAACCACTTCATACGAATCAGTGGCCACATGCCCTTGCTGCTGCAGCCTGGATGCCAGACCAGGACACAGGCACAGGCCAGCGAGCCTTCCCCAAGGTCCCCCAACTCTGAGGACACAGGGAAGAGAGGGGGGCCGCAAACTGGCTGAGCCAAAGGTGCAGCCCTTCTGCCTGCCACTTCCTGCGCCGCCTCCCCTTCCTCCTCGCCCTCTGGCCCCGGAGGAAACCGCCAGCCGGCCCACGGCCCTTTCTCTCCGCTTCCTCTTTCCCACACCGAGGCCGGGCAGCTCCGGGCCCCGCCCAAGCCAGGGGTCTCCTGCGCGACTCCTCAGGCACTCCTTGGCCTCAGTGGCTTGGCCCGGGAAGCCAGAGCAGCCCAGCAGCCCTGTGGAATCACTTGTGGGGGGCTGAGCTCCCACCTCACACATCACATCACATCCAGCCCTCAGACACCCAGTCACCCACACCAGCCCCTTACTGCCCCCAACATCTGGTCTGCACGATCTGGCCCAACAGCTGGGGCTCTCTGCCTCTCCAAACTGCATTCCACACAGCACCCGTGAGGTCACACCACTGGCTATGGGTGCCTTGGGCTCCCCGAGTCCAGCCCCCTCAGGCCACTACTTTGCAGGGCTATGGGACCCCTGGTGAGTCCCTGCCTCCTGACGGGCAGCTACTTCCCAACCCCCAGTCTGAGAGCCCAAGACACATATGAGACCCCTTCCAGAGAGCCACCAAGTGCCGGGTTCCAATCCCCTTTTGGCCACTCACCAGCCATGGGACCAAACACAAGCTGCCGAAGCCCACTGGGTGTGATCCCAGCGCTGCCTTCACAGGACTGTGGGGGAGGAGCTGGCGGGGGGTGTGGAGCGGCCTGAGGTGCAGGCTCAGCTGAGTTTCACCCGAGTCGTACACAAGAGAGAAACGGAGGCTACGTCCCAGACCTGGGCAGCAGCCCGGCTAGCTGGCCCGGGCCTCTCCTGCAGGTGAGGGCTTGGCACCGTTACAGCCACAGGACTCCCACGTGACATCCCTCCGCTGCTGATCGTGGGCCCTTTCCATGACTACACCAGCCAGGTGACACCCTGTGGCCTGTGGACAGAGCTGGTCAGCAGGTGGCCAGGGCAGGGCTTCTTGGACTCGGGGTACAGATCTATAGCCGCCTGTCCCTACGGGAGGGGAGGTCCCAGCGCCCGGGGCAGTGTCTGGTAGGCCAAGGGCAGTCAGGGGAGTGGGCACACAGCTCCCCAGGCCACACATAAGGACCAAGCCTGTAGTCCCACTGCCACTGTGGGGCAGCCCCCACCAGGTCTCCCAGCCTGCCACCCCAGGCCTCCCACAGCTCCCACAGTTCTTACAGGAAGGCCTGAGGCCCCCTGCAGCCTCTTCCTCGCCCCTGCTTCCTGCTCACAGCATGTCCGCAGAGCAGTGTATACCGGCCACCCCTACCTTCCTCTCATGGGCAGCACTGAGTGGGGAGGCAGGGACACCTCAGCCCTGGGCTTGGGCCCTTGCCACAGCTAGGTGTTCTCAGTGCCCCACCCTGCAGGCGGGCCTCCTGTGCACAGCTACCCTCTTCACAGATGGGCTCAGGGCTGCACAGCAGGAGTCGCCCAGTGGCTGCCTGCCATGTGCCCCGAATCACAGTGCACAAGGATGCTCAGGTGCAGTCCTTCCTGTCCTGGGGTCACAGGTCAGCGGTCAAGCCTGGCCACCATGGTCTGAGTGCCCTGGCACTGCTCAGGAGCCCTGTGCCCTCGGCAGCAGCCCCAGCACAGGGCGAAGCTGGGGCACCTGGCCCTGAGCCACTGCTGCTGGCTTTGCAACCCCACAGGTCTCCTGACAGCCACCAGGCCCCTGCCGAGCCGGGAGCTCTCGGTCCCCAGGACGGAGAACGCGGGGCACCTTCCCCAGTTACCAGCAGTCCTGGCTTCTGGCACGGAACTAAGCAGCACCAGTGTGAGCCCCGCCCCAGCACACGGGGCCTCCAAACAAAAATCTGTAGGACTTTTTTTTTAAATGCATGCACTGGTTTTTTTTTTTATGCACTGGTTTTTTAATAACACGCATTTTCCTTAATTTTGATTCTTTGAAAGGCAGAGACACGAGCTGGCACTGAGGTAAGGAGCATAAAGCCTGCAGCTACAGCATCAGCACCCCAAGTCAGCACCACCCACTTCCCATCCAGCTCCCTGCTAATGCACCTGGAGAGGGTATCAGAGGATGGCACAAAACCTGGGGACCCCGCACCCACATGGGGACCCTGAAGAGGCTCCTGGCTCCTGGCTTCAGATAAGCCAAGTTCCAGCCACTGCCACCATCTAGGGAGTGAACCAGAGGATGGAAGATCTCTCTAAGTCTACATTTCAAATAAATATATAAATCTTTTTTTTAAAGATTTATTTTATTCGTATTGGAAAGGCGGATATAGAGAGAGGAGAGACAGAGAGGAAGATCTTCCGTCCGATGATTCACTCCCCAAGTGAGCGCAACGACCGATGCTATGCCGATCCGAAGCCAGGAGCCTCTTCCGGGTCTCCCACGTGGGTGCAGGTTCCCAAAGCTTTGGGCCGTCCTCGACTGCTTTCCCAGGCCACAGGCAGGGAGGTGGATAGGAAGCAGGGCTTGCCGGGATTAGAACCAGTGCCCAAATGGGATCCCGGGCATGCAAGGCGAGGACCTTAACCACTATGCCATCGCACCGGGCCCAAATATATAAATCTTTAAGAGAGCAAACAAAGGCAGAGACCCCCCCATCTGCGGCTCACTCCCCAATGCCCGCACTAATGGCTGGGACACAGCATTACAGCCGGGCACCTGGTGCTCCATCCAGGTCCCCCTGTGGGGGGCAAGGACCCATCACAGGGGGCCTAATCAGCAGGAAAAAGTAGAGCCAAGACTCAAGGCCAGGCATCCCAAGCGGGGACCCTCACCTGTAGGCCCTACTGGGCAGGAAGGAAATACCCACCAAATCCAGGCCCTCCTTCTCCCAGAGCAACTGCAGAAGCTGTTTTTAAAGTGATGACTTTTTAGGAGACCTTTGACATACAGATGAGAGCACAGATGGGACAGGGTGCTGAGAGGGCGTGGCCGCACAGTGGGGAGCCACACGGATGCTGCTGCAAAGCCCACACGTGTGTTCCTGCCAGCCACATCCCAAGGAGTCCGGTGGTGCCCACCAGAAAATGCCAACCTCTGGCCTACTGGGCAGCGCCCTGTCCCCCAGCCTAGCTCACAGGTAGAGAGGAGGGCTCAGGGGCTTGGGACGCTGCACACCTGCCTCAGTCCTGGCCATTGCTGCCGCCAGGGAGTGAGCCAGGGAGTGCAGGCCAGTGCAAGCACGCGCTCTGCCTCTCCCCGTTGGTAACCGCCGCTCTAACCAGGCGCTCCTTGAGAGCGAATCCCGGGGAGGCAGACGCATGACGAGGCAGAGTGCCCCACCCCTGCGACACCCAGAGAGACCAGGACATGACCGCAGCCTGGGCCCTACTGAAGACTCCCAACGCCGAGTGCCAGAGGGCCACACAGAACCACACATCTGAAACACAGAAGACAATGCCACCGCAGAGCTCAAAATAGACTGAGGCGGGCTCTGTCCTGATGCTCTGACCCTACAGGAAGCTACCCTCAGCCATGTACCCAGGCAGCCTCTGCCGTGTCCCCCACAACCTCGAGGCCAGTGGGTGCCTCCCGACCAAGCACAGCTCTTCATCCCAGGACACTCCTGCTGAGCTGCACTCAAGCCTCTTTTCACACTTGCCAAGTTAGCCTTGCTCATGACAGCGTACACACACCATCCACACCCAGCAGGCTCACCACAGCCCTTGTGGAGAGACAGCTCAAAGCCACAGAACAGGGACAGCTTTGCCAGCTGCCTTCCACTCCCCCACCTGCAATTCCAAACGCAGACACAGCCAACACACCCATGGGACGCCGAGAACAGCTGCCACCCAACTCTGATTCGGCCCCGGAGCCAGAGCCCTGCCCCCCAACCTGAGGAGGGACTAGGGGCCTGGCAAGGGGGGCACACGTTCTCACCTGCAACGAGCAGGGCTGCGACACCTGCCCCTCACCACCCACGTGTTTTGACCCCCTCTGCGAATTGTCCCTGCCCCGCCCTGCCCCCCACACTGCTTCCACTGAGGCAGTGTCTCCACATGGTCAAAGACTGCATGCCCAATGTTGGCCCTGGCACCCCGGATCAGTGTCGTTCCCCCTGGCAGCCAAGACCTGGCAAAAATACAAGGGGCAGAGAAATCAAGCTGGGTGGCCCCAACCACCGAACACACCCAAGGCGACAGCCTGCAGTGTGGGCACACAGGAGCAACAAAGCCAGCTGCCAAGGGCACAGCTTTTCCAACCATCAACACGAGAGGGTGCATAGTGTCTTCTAGGCAGCGTGAACCCTCCGCAAGGAACACACCAATCTTGCTCGGTGTCAGCCTTGGCCAAGGTTCCCGAGCACCTCAGATCGCCATGCCACTGGCCACAGGACACCCAGGGTCAAGAGAAGCGAACCGGACAAACAGGACAGTCCCGCATGCGTCCGCCTCCAGACCATGGGGCCACCGCAGGCACCCCAAGCCCTGAGAGTGACTCAGTGGGTCACACCTGCACCGGGCACAGGGACACCATCACAAACCCCCAGGTGTGTGGCCGGGGCACCCACAGAGGCCAGACACCCTGCCCCATCTCTGTAACCTTCCTGCAACCATGAAACTTTAGGAAGCAAGCCAAGTGTTTGAAAAAGCCATCCTCTGCCTTCTGGGGGTACTCTGCAAAGAACCCACCTGCACCCACCAATGTCATGTCCACAGTCCCCAGGGGCGCAGCAGGGCGTACCTTGGGCGGATCGAAGAGTTCTAGCAGGAGCTCGGGGCTGTCGGGGCTGGCACGGCGCAGCGCCAGCCTCCCGCGCTGCCAGCGCGCCCCGCTGTCCATGGACGCCTCGTCGGCCAAGCTGTAGCGCAGCGTCGCTTCCTTGAGGGCCTCGGGCGGCGGCCCCCGCGACAGGTTCCAGGGCAGGAGCTTGCGGGCCAGGCCGGACCGGGCCGGGCCCTCGCCGGCTTCCCCGGCCGTGGTGGCAGCAGCAGTGGCCACGGCGCCCACGGGCAGCTCACCGGCCGAGCGGCGCCGGAAGATGTGGCGGAGGCTGCGGCGCAGGTGCTGCAGGGAGCAGGGTCCGGGCGGCCGCGGCGGGGCCAGCTCCTCGGAGCTGCGGGCCTTGGGCAGGCCGGCGGCGGGGCCCGGGCCGAGCTCGGCCGCCGCCCCCTCGGCCTTGACCGGGGCACCGCGGCCCGTGTCGCGGTAGTCGCGCGCAGGTGCGGCGACCCGGGCCCCGTCGCGCAGCTCGCGGCAGAAGTAGCGCTGGAAGAGGTCGGTGAACTGCAGCGACACGAGCTCGGCGCGCAGAGGGGCGTGCTGCGGGTGCTCGCGCGCGAAGAGCCAGTACTGGCGGGCCAGCTCGCGGGCCGCGGCCACCGCATGCAGCTCGCAGAAGTCGCTCCAGCCCCGGGGGCACGGGGACGCCGCCGGCAGGGAAGGCAGGGAGGCCGTGGGCGTCGAGGACGCGCAGGAGGCCGAGGAAGGCTCAAGGGTGGGCCCGTTCATGGCGGAGACCGAGGTGGCGCGGCCAGGCTGAAAGACACGGAAGGGTGAGCGAAGAGTGAGCTGGCCGACAGGTAAGGCCGAAGCCCGCCTGGATCCCGTGCAGGGCAACCCTCCGGTCTGCGGGCCAAGGTGGACAACAAGCAATGAGACAGGTGGCACGCACACACATACGCAGGGGCTTCTTGCGTAACCCGGACACCCCAGGGCCCTGTGAGGTTGCTCAGGTTGCACAGCACGTGGCGCACGGCCCCATTTAAACCTTGGGAATTCTTCCTTCTAGAATTTTCCATGTAATATACATTCAGACTGGGCCCAGCGGCATGGCCTAGCGGCTAAGGTCCTTGCCTTGAACGCGTCAGGATCCTATATGGGCGCCGGTTCTAATCCCGGCTGCTCCACTTCCCATCCAGTTCCCTGCCTGTGGCCTGGGAAAGCAGTGGAGGACGGCCCAAAGCCTTGGGAACCTACACCCGCGTGGGAGACCTGGAAAAAGTTCCTGGCTCCTGGCTTTGGATCAGCATAGCATCGGCTATTGCGCTCACTTGGGGAGTGAATCATCAGACGGAAGATCTTCCTCTCTGTCTCTCCTCCTCTCTGTATATCTGACTTTCCAATAAATAAATAAATCTTTAAAAATATATATATACATTCAGACTGCAGGCTTAAGAGGGCAAACAAAGTGAAGCCATGGATAAAGGGGAGGAGCTGCCTGCAGTTTGGTGGTGGGGAATCACCTGCCCATAGCACGAGTGGAGAGCACCCGGCCGTCCACACTGCCGGCCCGGTCACACCCTGGCAATGAAGCTGCAAAGGAACACAGGGTGAGCGTTTCAGCTGTCTGTAGGAATGGGAAAACAGGCTGCCCACTGCCCAGCAGTGCCAGCTGGGCTCAGCATCCGGGTACCCCAACACGTGGCCTGCTCATCAGCAGTCGGACAGGATGCAGCCCCCACGACAATGCCAGCTGCACAACTGACTTAGAACACACACCTACAGAGCCAGTAAAACCAGCTGCCTTCTCAGCCACTGGGGCTTATGGGGTTTTCCCCCCCAGTTTTCCTGACACTCGCCCATCCCCTACCCTCATCCCCCAAATGCCTGTGATAAGTATACCTGTCTGAAGTTAGAAGCCTGGAACCCAATCCAGGACCCTGGGCAGCAGCAGAGACTCTGGGGTGCCAAGACCCCAGGGAGCACACTGGTCGGAACCCCAAGACACTCCAGGCTCGGTGGGGACTGAACTCACTTCAGTGGTCATCAGCATGGCTTCAGTGGACCCTGGCTGGGGACCAAGCCTGGGGTGCCGGGAGACAGGCAGCCCAGGCAGGTTCAGGCCCTGGCACTACCAGGGACAAGCTGGGCAACCAGAAGATGTGCTGGCCTGCCTCAGTTTCCCTGATGGCGCCTGCCTCAGGGTCAGCGTGAAGACCGAGGTAGTAAAATTCAGGGGCTTGCTGCTTCAGCCACTCCTAACGTCGTCACTGATGGCCATGGAGCTAACCAAGGAGGAATCACACAGAGCAGGGGGACCTATGTCCACGCATCCTCGAGACTGGAGCAGAGTCCTCACCCCGCACCGTGGGCCCTGGCTCCCAGCTGCATCCCGGAGGCTGCACCCACCTGCTGGGCAGGAGCAGAGCAGATTCACTGGGTGCCAGGTGGAGATCCAAGGCCGCAGTGGCTTCCACTGCCACTCAGACTTCAGACCCACAGTGCCACTGCCCCCCGCTGTCTGCCCACAGTCCCACTGCCCCCGCTGTCTGCCCACAGTCCCACTGCCCCCGCTGTCTGCCCACAGTGCCACTGCCCCCCGCTGTCTGCCCACAGTCCCACTGCCCCCCGCTGTCTGCCCACAGTCCCACTGCCCCCGCTGTCTGCCCACAGTGCCACTGCCCCCCGCTGTCTGCCCACAGTGCCACTGCCCCCCGCTGTCTGCCCACAGTGCCACTGCCCCCCGCTGTCTGCCCACAGTCCCACTGCCCCCGCTGTCTGCCCACAGTGCCACTGCCTCCCGCTGTCTGCCCACAGTGCCACTGCCCCCCGCTGTCTGCCCACAGTGCCACTGCCCCCCGCTGTCTGCCCACAGTCCCACTGCCCTCCACTGTCTGCTTCCAGGTGCACAGTTTGCACCACAAGCAGGCCTGACCTTGCCCTCCAGCACACTGTCACTCGCTGCCAACCACCTCCTGGCCAACCCAGGCTCCAGAGACCACTGGTCCTCCCTCCCTCCATCTCCAGGTCCCAGTAAACAGCAAGAACTCACTAAGTGGCACTGAGTGAACCTCATGGACCTAAGACATTACTCAGAGTTGCAACCTCTGTTCCCTGACCCCTGACCGAGCAGACACAGGGCTGACAACAGCTGCCACACACTTCCCGGGGCCTACAACACCGACCCTGCACAGCCCCGAACACGCAGCGAAGGCCAGATCCTGCAGGGTCTCACACACTCCCTTCCTGAGCGTGGCAATGCTGGGAGCCCTCCCCACTGCGGCCCCCTCCTAGAGGTCCCCCCGAGGTCCGTGGTGTGCACTGAGCCCTCACAAGTCAACCCCTGGGTGCCATTCACCACCAACCCAGGAAGGAGGCCCTCAGCTGGCACACCCTGGGCACCCTGACACCTGCCAAGACCTCACTGTTGAAGCAGGAACCATCAGACACCTCACAGGTCCTTGGACCACCGAGTGAGTGCCATGCCAGGCTGTGTGTGGCCTCCGCCTGGAGGGGACAATTCTGCTCTCAGGGCTGGGCAGCGGCTGGGAGCCCAGCAGCAACCACTATTTTACTGCTGTTACTGTAGGAGAAGGGTGGCAGCCTGGCACTGCAGCTTGCCAGGACCAAGCTGTAGCGGACAGCAGCCCCATGGGCCGGGCCGACAGTGGGGCAGCACAGCAGTGGAATGAATGATCTCGGGCAGCTGCAAGCAGCAAATGGACAGTGGAGCCAAGCCCAGCAAGGGCTCTCCCCATGGCCTTGGTGCCGTGTTAACACCCTGCTGGGGCCTGGGCAGCTGAGAGCCCACCCTCAGCCCAGACATGGGTACTGCAGCCTGCCATCTGCAGGGAGAATTCCCCACTGAAGCTGGGGGAGGGTGCAGGGCAGGAAGTTACCTGAGGCCTCTCCTGGGCCTCCATGCCCCCTCCAGGGTCCACAGGGCCCACAGAGGCCTCCAGGGCACACCTACCCTGTGCCCCAGGAGGTGCTGAGAGCCAAGCCCCGACTGGTAGCAGGGCAGCCAATGGGCAGTGCAGGGCAGAGGCCTCTCTGGGGTCGCCTGGTGCCCCAGGGACATTTATCAGGTCCGTGCAGTCAGCCAGAACAGGACCTGGCCTCTGTCTCCTCAGCTCCCAGCGCACGCCTGCCGCGGCAGCCACCACCCCACCCAGGCCCCGGGAGGCGGGGAGGCCATGGGCGCGGGGCTTGGGCCTGGGGAGCCGGCAGCTCCCTCAGCGGCCACCCCTGCCCTGGGCCAGGATGTGGCTTCACCTTCCACCTGCCCTGAGAGAAAGCAAGCTGTTTGCCTCTGCACACAGAATCCGTGGGGCCATGAGGGCCACATGAGCGCCACTCCATAGGGCAGGACCTCCCAGAGCCCTCCGCACCAGGCAGCAGGCCCTGCAGGCCCTGGCCCCCCAGCAGGCAGCCTGTGACTCAGCCCTGTAACCGGGCACACATTTCCTCCCCTCCCAGGCCTCCCTGGGGATGTGCTGCCTGGGTAGCAGCCCAACAGGGCTGGAGGGGGGACATCCGGGTGGGCCCCTAGGGGCTCCCAGCTTGGCTCCCAGCAAGGAAGCCTGCAGCCTAACCCCCTCCCCAGCCATCTGCTCAGCTGTGGGGCTTCCGGCAGGGGTGGGACCAGCAGCCAGCAGGACATGCTCCCCTGGGGGAGGAGGGACCCAGGGCAAGGCAGCCTAGTAGCTCTGGACTCCAGAGGAGCACCGGACGCCTTGGTGGTGAGGGGACAAGCAGTTGGGCATCCAGAGGGTTACCCACTCCCTACTGCCTGGCTTGTCCCAGTTCCCACGGGACCCCTAGTCCTCAGGGGTCGAGGAGCTGGGCTGCAGGGCTCCTGGGTCCTATTAGGCCTGACTCAGCAGTGACCCAGCTGAGTCACTTCCCCTGGGTGCCTGGCACGCCCACCTATGGACCCTCAAAGGGGGCAGCTCCCAGGGCCACGGGGGGAGGGGGGGGAGCAGCCTCTGGCCCCGCCCAGCCAGACGCTGGGCAGCTATTCAATGCCAGCCCCTCCAGGCACCACCTCACATGTACTGAGTGCCCCCACTTCACAGGGGCGGAGATCTTAGAGGAGTGAGGGCCTCAAGTAGGGGGTCACACAACTGCGACTCCTGATGCAACTGCCAAGGTGAGTGCAGCCTCCTTGGCCAGCTCACCTGCTCCAGACCCATGGCTGGAGACTGGCCAAGAGCAGGTTTGGCCCCGAAGCCCACGCCGCTCCAGGGAGCATGGCATTGAGCAGAAATCACCCGTGCTCGCCTCCCGGCCGGCACCTCAGCTCCTGCCCACACTCTCCGAAAGGCTGTGGGGTCCCAGCAATCACAGCCACAGGAGACACCCAGGCAAACTTGCCTCCAAGGCCTCCTCAGCCCACGCGGTGGGGGTCACAGCCCAGAATGCAGATTCCAGAAAGTTCCATCTCACTGGGGAGGGCGACCAGGGGCAGAGCTGACATAGTGGGAAAAGCCAGCACTGCCAGGGCCCTCCCTGCCACACCATGGAGTCACTCAGCTGACGATCCCAAGAAGCAGATTCTCTTGTCACACCCATATCACAGATGAACAAACGGAGGCCAGCGCCATCGTGCAGGAGCTCGGAGCCGCGAAGTGCCATCACTTCATCCTGCCCAGAGCCTTCGGAACTCTCACCAAGACAGAACCCCAGGACTGTGGAGATCCCCCAGCCAGGACCCCCCCACCCTGCGCAAATGCAAGGATAAACACCACGTGACCACCTGTAATTGAGCCCTCTGCCGGGCGGCAGGTGCTTCTCACACGGGCTCATTAATCCCACAAGGTAAACCTGTTATTATCCCATTTCACCAAGAGAAAGCTGAGGCTCCCCAGGGCCCGGGCCCACGCCCTTCTTCCCTCCCCTGCTGAGCTGAGCCCCTGATGTCCTCTGACCCCAGCTGCTAGCCGCCCCCCAAGGGACCCGCAGCTGTTCCAGGAATGCTCACCCTTTGGCCCCAGCAGGCGGGGGCTGTGGGAAAAGGCTCAGGAAGGCGGCCTGGAAGCCTTCGGACGCCCGCAGAGCTGGGGGCCTTGGCCTGCACCCCTGAACTGGCTCTCCCCCATCAGGGCACGCCCTCAGGACCTGGGTGCGCACTGATGGCAATGCCAGACCTGACTTGGGCTCTGTCCCTGGCCACTGCCCATGCCCACCGCTCTAGCAGGCAGGACCACACTGTCACCCGAGGAAGCGGCCTGGCCTGTGGCCAGCAGGTGTCCGGCTGGGAGGATGTTCACCTCCGGGGTCAGGCTGCAGGCCAGGCTGGCCGCGGGGCCTGGGCCACGTGCCCTGGAGCCCCCCCCCCACCGCCCCCTCTCACTTCCTCCCCCCAGGCCGGTCTGGCAAGGCCCCCACCCCCCAGCCCCGGACTCCCAGCTGCAGGCAGTGACCTCCTCACCCACATCATCGCGGCCCCGGAATGGGGAAGAGAAAGGAGAATGAGGAAACTAGAGGAAAGCTGCCGGCTGTCCGCAGGCCCCTCCTCCCCAGTTCCTCAAATGCAGGACCCCCGCCCCCGCCAAGCTCCAGGGAACTGAACCAGCCAGAAATCCCCTCCCGCTGCCCCGCACCTCAAGTCCACGCCCCCTCCTCTGCTTAGTGGGGGTCCCCCGAACCCTAGGCCAGCGCAGAGCGGGACGGGGGGTCTCCCTCCCAGCCACAAGGTCTGGGATCCCGGAGCGGGGGCTCTGCTCCCAACTACATTTTTCACTTCCTGAGGACCCAGAATTGACTCCCCTCCTCTCGGGGCCCAGCTGCGCCTGAGCGTGCTCGGCCGGGGTGGCCACAGCTGACCCTCGCCGCACCTGTGTGGGCCGGGGTCGCCGCCGCGCGCGCCTCGCCCGAGCCGGCTGCCCGGGGGTCCCGACCCCACCCCGAGCGCGCGGGCCGGGCTTACCTGAGAGAGACGGGGTGCGGGCCCGGCCGGCCCATGGCGTCGCGCGCCCCCGGCCCCCCGAAGCCCCGAGGGAGAGGGGCGGGCGGGCCCCCGGCTCGGGCGAGTCCGCTCCGCGCGCCGGCTCCTCGCTCGCCTCTCGCTCGCGCGGGGCTCAGGCAGGAAACCAGGGCTCGGAAGATGGCCAGCGCCTCATCATTTCCGCCGCCAGCGCTTGACAGTTACGAGACCGGGCGCCCCCGGGACGCCGCCGGGGCAACTTGGCTGCTGCTGCTGCCGCCGCCGCCGTGGACAGCGCGGGGCCGCGACAGTCCGGGCGAGTTGCCGGGAGAGACGGTGGCCCGGGCCCATGCCGCCCCGCGCCGTTATGTAAAGAGGAACCGGCCGAGCGAGCCGAGCGCGCCGCGGGGACGCCGGCGGGGCGGGGACGCCGAGAGCCACGCCCCCGCGAGCCCTGCGGCCCCGCCCACCGCCCGTGCCGCCTCGGGAAGCCCGAGCCGAGGGGCGGAGTCCCACCGAGCCACGCCCACCACGGCTCCTCCCCTATCGCGTCGCGCAGCCTAAAGAAGGGAGGCAGCTGCCGGAGGGGCGGGGCGGCTTTGGTCACACCCCTCCCCCAGGCCCGCCCGTCACGGGGCACCTCGGCGTGGCGGGGGCGGGGCCAGGTCTGGGGGCGGGGCCGGGGCGCTGCGCCGTCCGGCCTCCAGGGGGCGCTCCCGAGCTGCCACCGTCTCCCTCCCAAGCGCGCGCCCTTATCGCCGCCCGCCGGGCCCGGGATGTGCAAGAGCACCCCGGCTTTCATCAGCATCGCCTGGGGAGGGGGTCAGGCCCCACCCGGCCCCGTCTGTTCGCCTGGACTCCCACAGTCAGACCCCAGCCCGTAGAGACCACCTGCACCCCTACGCCCCCGAGCTTCCACTCCTCCTGGAAGCCCTCCTGAGTTGCTGCTCCATGGCCTCTGCGCCTCCCGGACTTGGTCGCCCCGTTTCCCCCGGGTAGGGTGAGGCTAACCGTGCGGCTCAGCCTGGTGCGGCATGGAGCCAGGTCAGCCGGCCCTTCCCACCGCGCGCCCCCTCCCCCGACAGGAAGCAGGTTGCCCACGCCCCCAGTTCGGAGGGGCCCCCACTCATCTCCGCTCGGGTGTGACGCGACGGAGGCGAACCTGTGCCGCGGTGCTTGGCAGCGGGTGGGGGCTCTGCTCCAGGAAGTGCTGCCCCAGTGGGGAGTCCCGCCCTGCCCCCCACTCTGGGCTGCAGGAAGGGGTTCCCCAACAGGTGGGTATTTCCAGCCTGCGGAGGGGGGAGGGAGGAGCTGAGGCTGGCATGACTGGGGTGTGGGGGGCGCTGGACAGCTATGCCAGCTACTCCTACAGGCCAGCTACTCCTACAGCTGGGGACCCCAGGGAGGGGCCGAGAAACAGCTTGCCTCTACATGCCGCGCCAGCATCCCATATGGGCACCGGCTGGTATCTCAGCTGCCCCGCTTCCCTGCCCAGCTCCCTGCCAGGGCGCGTGGGAAGGCAGGTCCGCTGAGAGGGGAGGAGGGAGCCTCCACCCATGCAGGATACCCACGTGGGAGACTCAGCTCCCAGCTCCGGCCTGACCAGCTGTTGCAGCCATTTGGAGAGAGAACTAGCAGCTGTAAGATCTCCCTCTCCCTGTGTCCTTACCTTTCAGGTAAAAAAAAAAAAAAAAAAATTCAAAATTACCTTTTAAACAATGTTGAATTGGAAAGGCAGATTTTACAGAAAGAACAGAGACAAAGATCTTCCATCCATTGGTTCGCTCCCCAAATGGCTGCAATGGCCGGAGCTGAACCGATCCAAAGCCAGGAGCCAGGAGCCTCCTCTGGATCTCCCACACAGGTACAGGGTCCCAAGGCTTTGGGTCATTGTTAGGTTTTAAATGCACTTAAAGTTCTCATAGGAACAAAATGGGAGTGGTGGAAGAGCGAAGAGAAAGAGGGACACATGTGGGGACTCCTTTATGCAACTCGGGGGAGCCTGCAAGGTGGGGGGCATGGAGAACTGGGAGGGGCTGCAAGCGGGCCCCAAGGGATTGGTGACTGCGATCGTCACAAGTGATTACCTAAGGGTGGTTGGTAAGTGGGCAGGGATGGGGGAAGGAGTCCCCTGAGATTGCTGGGTGGGGTTCTCAGGTAACATGCCAGGGTACATCTGATTGGTGGACAACTGAGCTGTGAGAAGGGACTTGGCATGCAGGGTGGCAGGGTCTCAGTCTCCAGAACAATATCTGAACCACTGCCATTCCCTACTGCTTTCCCAGGCCACAGGCAGGGAGCTGGATGGGAAGTGGGGCAGCCGGGACATGAACCAGTGCTCACATGGGATCTGCAGTGCCCGAAAGGGGAGGATGAGCCAATTGAGCCACAGCACCAGACTCAAGATAAATCTTCGAAAAACAGACATCTCCAGAGAGTTGCCATTTCAACAGACACCTGGGTTGGGGCAGGAGGGAGAGGGGCTGGGGGGGGGGGGGGGGCAGTGCAGGAAGGAATGCCAGCAGGTGGGAAGAAAACCTGAAAGGGGGAGGAAGAGGTGAAGTGGGAGAAGCAGTGCCATCCCACAGTGCCCAAGGGTCTGGGGTGGCTGGGGAATGACTCTGAGGCGAGAGGGACCTGCTACAGGCTCGGGCTGCAAGGTGTGACATTGGGAGTCCCTTTAGGAGCGTCCCCCAAAAGGCCAAAGCCAGCACCCTGGCTTTGGCCTCGGCCGCCAGCCCTCTCCTCCCTGCCCCGCCCACACTTTCACTGCTGACAGAAACTTGGGGTTCTCTCCTTTCACTTGCTCAGGCCTCCCGCGGCCCCTCCCTCCCATGACTGTGGGAACCCCCACACACGTTTGACAGCCGGGGAGGCAGGCACCACCGGGGACCCACACACACACACACTGGTGGCGGTGGCAATGCGAGGAAACAGCTGTGATTTGAGGCTGCGGCTGCTTGAAGAATGAGACCACAGGAGGGAAAGGCCACTGGGGTGTAAGGCAGCAGCCAGGATCAGTGGGTCCACAGTCACAGCTGGCCCAGGCTCACCACAGGGTCCCAGGCCGTCGGTGTGGCCGACGAGCCCGTCCTCCAGACAACGCACCCATCTACAGTAACGGATTGATTAGTAATAGATGCTCTCGGTCATTACCAGATTCACAGCAAAGATCCACCCCAGCGTGCAAAGGGTCAGCAACCTTGAACAGGTGCAGCTCAAACATGGGACAAACGGGGGACTCACATTTGAATACGGCGCTTCTTCGCGGCCTAGGATACTGCTGAGATAACCGCAGGCCTGGAGAAGGGACAGCATGATGTCATTTGGCACCCAAGGCTTGAAGGCCCTGGGCTTGTGACTTGGAGTGAGCGAGCGTGGGTACAATGCATTCATGTCCCTGAACAAGGCAGGTGGACGTGGGGGAGGGGGTGCCCAGGAGACAGGAAGAGGCAGGGAGCCCCAGCCTCTTGAGGATCCCCCCTCTCCCCTCCGAGACAGCACTCATGCAGGAGCTTCCATGGGGGAGGGTGGCTCTCATGGAGCATGTGACTGATGGCTGTGAGACGGACGTGACCCACAACCCTAGCTGGGTCCTGACACCTGGCAGTCCCATGTGCATGGTCACCTGAGCACCTGGGCTGGCCGTGTGCTCCAGCAGGACACCCTCAGGCCACTCTGCTGGACCTGGCTCTCATCCTGACTGCCCTGCTTCCCACCCACCTTCCTGCTAAGGTAGCAGGCACTTGACTCCTTGACACCCACACAGAGGACCTGGACTGAGTGCCAGGCTCGTGGTCATGGCTTGGCCCCGACCTGGCTGCTGCGGGCATTTGGGAAGTGAACTAGAAAATGGGAAATCCCTCTGTGCCTTTCAAATAGAATGCATTGGTGGGGTGGGGGTGCAGGAATGGTGTTCTCATCCCTCGCTCATTGCTGCACTGGCTGTTCCCTCCACTGGGATGCTGGGAGGCTTCCTAACTCACTTCCCCTCCCTGGGTCTCTGCTGCCCTGAGGCAGACCCTTCCCCGCTCTTTGTTGGGGTCCATTAAGTGGATGTAGGGGACATGAAGGTGTGAAGAGTATTCCACTGCAGGCAGGGTCGCAAGGAACTTCCAGCTGTTTGGCAGAGCCCCGCGGAAGTCTCTACAACCACCTGAATACAGCTCCACCTTCTTTGTCATGGACACCGGACCACCCTGCCGGGGAATTCTAATCCATCCAGGCATTGTTTGCTACTGTGGGGCTGGCCTTTTGCTCAGTGTGAGCTTGGAGGTTAATGTCGGTGATAGCGTCTTGCACAAGGGCCTTCTATTATTCCTACTGTCTTGGCTGTCCCCATTGACCTTATGCTAATCAAGGGACCTACATTTAGGCTTTCATTCTTTCCTCATTCTTTAGATTACCCTTTTCTTTGTGATACAAGACTGAGTTGTAGGATAAGAATTGTAGCAGGAACTTCTATTGTTTCTAGGTAAAACTAATGGCAGAATTAGTCTTAGAAATTCCCAACTTGACCATGACATAAAGTCTGAGCCAGAGTTTGACTGATTTTGTATAACTAAAGTGGACAGCTTTCCTGCATTGTCCATTATGATCATGTAATCCTAGTGGTCCGTCTTTCCTTCCTCTTTGCGCCTCATCCTCGCGCCCTTCTCGAGTTCCGAACTCAGCTGGAGCTGGACTCCGGCAGCTCTTGACCTCCTTGGCTGCACCTGCTGCCCTACTCCCCTCTCCCCATTGTGTTCCTGGCACTGCGGGAGTGACAGGTGCAGGTGACAGGTGTTCACGGCAGGTAGACCATATGCACAGACCTTTGGCACCTGGTTCCTGTCCCCTGGGCTGGGCTGACTCCCTCTAACAATGGGTTGGGGTGGGGGCTGGGAAGGCCGTCCGAGGAGAGGCGCGTCACCGGCTCCTTCCTTCCGCTTTCCTCTGGGCGCAGGACTCCCAGGCCAGTCACTGGGCAGGGGCCCCAGCTGCCCGGCCCCCTCCCTCCGCTTCCTTCCTGTTTCGGACATGCCTCTCCAAGGTTTGCCTGCCAACCGGCTGTGCCTCCTCGCCACCTGCACTGAGGAGTGGGAGGCTGAGCCCCATAGCCACTAACCCTAACCCTTAAGCACCCGGGATCGAAGGAGACAGAGGTCAGGAAACTGAGGCACGTGGTGGGCAGTGAAGCGACCTGCCCCCAGGTGCAGCAGGGGTTCTCTTCCCCAAGCTCCCAGCCCCCATATGGCAGGGCCCCCCTCACCGTATCCCCGGCCGGCCTGGGAAGCTGTGACGCCCCCTCTTCCGCCACCGGTTGGGGGAATCTGGTTTCTGCGGGAAATGACTCACTGGCCTGAAGCCCCGCAGATAATTATTCACTTCCAATC